GTATTGTATAAATATATTATCAAATTATTATAGAAATATTTGCAAATGTATTAAAAATTAAAAAACTGAAATATTACATTTACATAAGTATTCAGACCCTTTACTCAGTACGTTGTTGAAGCACATTTGGCAGCGATTACAGGTATGACGCTACAAGCTTGGCACACCTGTATTTGGGGAGTTTCTCCCATTCTTCTCTGCAGATTCTCTCAAGCTCTGTGAGGTTGGATGGGGAGCGTCGCTGCACAGCTATTTTCAGGTCTTTCTAGAGATGTTTGATCGGGTTCAAGTCCGGGCTCTGGGTGGGCCACTCAAGGACATTCAGAGACTTGTCCCAAAGCCACTCCTGCGTTGTCTTGGCTGTGTGCTTAGGGTCGTTGTCCTGTTGGAAGGTGAACTTTCACCCCAGTCTGAGGTCCTGAGCACTCTGGAGCAGGTTTTCATCAAGGATCTCTGTGCTTTGCTCTGTTCATCTTTCCGTCGATCCGACTAGTCCTGACTAGTCTCCCAGTCCCTACTGCTGATAAACATCCCTACAGCATGATGCTGCCGCCACCATGCTTCACCGTAGGGATGGTGCCAGGTTTAGTCCTTTAGGTGCCTTTTGGCAAACTCCAAGCAGACTTGTGCCTTTTACTGAGGAGTGGCTTCCGTTTGGCCACTCTACCATAAAGGTCTGATTGGTGGAGTGCTGCAGAGATGGTTGTCCTTCTGGAAGGTTCTCCCATCTCCACAGAGGAACTCTGTCAGAGTGACTATCGGGTTCTTGGTCACCTCCCTGACCAAGGCCCTTCTCCCCTGATTGCTCAGTTTGGCCGGGCGGCTAGCTCTAGGAAGAGTCTTGGTGGTTCTAAACTTCTGTCATTTAAGAATGATGGACGCCACTGTGTTCTTGGGGACCTTCAATGCTGCAGACATTTTTGGTATCCTTCCCCAGATCTGTCCCTCGACACAATCCTGTGCCGGAGCTCTGCGGACAATTCCTTCGACCTCATAGCTTGGTTTTTGCTCTGACATGCACTGTCAACTGTGGGACCTTATATAGACAGGTGTGTGCCTTTCCAAATTATGTCCAATCAATTGAATTTACCACAGGTGGATTCCAATCAAGTTGTAGAAACATCTCAAGGATGATCAATGGAAACAGGATGCACCTGAGCTCAATTTCGAGTCTCATAGCAAGGGGTCTGAATACTTACGTAAATAAGGTGTTTCTGTTGTAGTTTTTTAAATACATTTCCAAAGATTTCTGAAAACCTGTTTTCGCTTTGTGATTATGGGGTATTGTGTGTAGATTGATGTGGGGGGAAAAAACGATTTAATCCATTTTAGAATAAGGCTGTAATGTAACAAAATGTTGAAAACGTCAAGGGGTCTGAATACTTTCCAAATGCACCGTAATATTTCTGCATGTCCTAATTTGCCTGACAATGGAATTCAGGCGTGACACAATGACAAGATAAAGAGGATTATTTTGGATACTGGCTCTCACACAAGTCTAACATATCCTATATTTCGCAAACTGTTACAGGAGGGGGTCGCAGTTCCGGAGCGACCCACTAGCTGTCATCCTCCGACAACCTTAGGCACCTCCTCACTCACAGTCTGGACTAATCATGATCCTATTGGTGTCACCTGTGTCTACCTGTTCACCTGTGTATTTATGCCCTCACTTCCCTGTGTTCCCTTGCTCAGCTTTCTCTGCTAGTTTCACTATGCCAAGCAGTACTAATCAGTGTCTGATCGCGGGACGAATGGACAGGTACGTGTGAAGTGTTCTCCCTGTTTAGTTATTATTTCAGTCACAGTTAGTATTTCGTATTTTGGTGTCAGCCTGTTTTTTTGGAGTCTTATTTGCTCCGCCTTTCTTTTTCGTGTAAAGTCTTTTATTCTGTATGCTGGCTTTGGGACCATCAGAAAATATCCTTGTTTCGCCATCTCTGCCTACTGCCTACTATCTATCCTGCACTGCACCTGGGTCACACCTCACACCAACCCTTACAGCAAACCAAACTAGAGTAGAAGCCCTTTTAGTTCTCACGGTCTTCAAATGATGGATAATCATAGGACTTTAACATAAACATCTTAAATCAGACCTCACGTTCCCACAATTTTTCACTGGCTCATTCCTTGAGAGTTTAAGCTTTATGTTTGGTTTTTGTTTGGTTTGGGAGTGGTTTGTGTAATGGTTGGAAACTTGTCAATGACTCATTATCTAAAATCACAAATCCCACTTCTGTCCTTTCCCAAATGTTGACTTAAAAGGACCTCAAATTAAGTGCTCATAATAAAACGATGTCACTTCTGAAGAGGGGGGCGTTATTCTACTGTCGCCTAAATCAGGGTTTCCCAAACTCGGTAGTCGTGACCCCAAGGGGTGCACGTTTTGGTTTTTGCCCTAGCACTACACAGCTGATTCAGAAAAATCAACTAATCATCAAGATTTGATCATTTAAATCAGCTGTGTAGCGTTAGGGCAAAAACCAAAACGTGCACCCCTTGGGGTCCCGAGGACCAGGTTAGGGAAACTCTGGCCTTAAGCCTTCGGCACACTGGGATTTTGTGCCCGAGATTTACTGATGGAGTCATGATGATGATTGTCTGACAAAAAACACACAAAAGTTCTGTCTTTTCACGTGTGGAACTCATCCGACAATAGTTTACTTGAGTTATAGCCTACTTTTCACAGACAAAAAGGCAATGACGTACCCCTAGTGAGCACTATTGGTTGATATTTGTTCCGTCTGCCCTGGCCTTGATTTCAACGTCTACAGACTTAGATTGTTGGTCCATCTAGACCTGTCTTGATTTGGCACAAACATAGACTATGATCGGTTCAGATTTGGTCCAGTCCGGTTGAGGCCGGCCTTGTTTTGGCCCAAACAAAGACGTCTATGATTGGTTCAGATTTGATCCAGTGCGGACCCACCCTCAGCATTTAGCAAAAATTGGAGACATATGGTTTTCAGGGGAAAAGGAAGAGAGCCTATGACTCAACTTCCGCGTTTGGACTTGAGCCTCACTGTTTACAGTCCCCGGTGAAAGAAATAACTTGAGGGAAAATTATGAAATTCTTTCTACAAAGTAAACAGACACTACATACCAATTCTGTTGGTGGCTACTTTGTCTGAGATTCCATTATTGCTAGATCAAGAGCCACTTAGTCAGTGCATACAACTAAGGTAGATAAACAACCATATATCACAGTCATAGAAAGTAAAACGTTTCTGTAACTCTTACTGAGAAGTTAAAGAGTTCTGTTGGTGATGTCAGAAAACATTGAACATGTTCACTGCCAATTCTGAAGCTTTTGAAAAGGCTAAGGTAAATGCAAGTGACAGATGGTAGCAATAATAACTATTCTGTACTTAATCTCCATTTTACTCTATTTTGATATTTTATTTGAAAATAAAACGTACAGTTGAAGTCGAAAGTTTACATACACTTAGGTTGGAGTCATTAAAACTCGTTTTTCAACCACTCCACAAATGTATTGTTAACAAACTATAGTTTTGGCAAGTCGGTTAGGACATCTACTTTGTGCATGACACAAGTCATTTTTCCAACAATTGTTTACAGACAGATTATTTCACTTATAATTCACTGTAACACAATTCCAGTGGGTCAGAATATTACATACACTAAGTTGACTGTGCCTTTAAACAGCTTGGAAAATTCCAGAAAATTATGTCATGGCTTTAGAAGCTTCTGATAGGCTAATTGACATCATTTGAGTCAATTGGAGGTGTACCTGTGGATTTATTTCAAGGCCTACCTTCAAACTCAGTGCCTCTTTGCTTGACATCATGGGAAAATCAAAGGGAATCAGCCAAATCCTCAGAAAAAAAATTGTAGACCTCCACAAGTCTTGTTCATCCTTGGGAGCAATTTCCAAATGCCTGAAGGTACCACGTTCATCTGTACAGACAATAGTATGCAAGTATAAACACCATGGGACCACGCAGCCGTCATACCGCCCAGGAATGAGACGCGTTCTGTCTCCTAGAGATGAACGTACTTTGGACCGAAAAGTGCAAATCAATCCCAGAACAACAGCAAAGGACCTTGTGAAGATGCTGGAGGAAACAGGTACAAACGTATCTATATCCAAAGTAAAACGAGTCCTATATCGACATAACCTGAAAGGCCGCTCAGCAAGGAAGAAGCCACTGCTCCAAAACTACCATAAAAAAGCCAGACTACGGTTTGCAACTGCACATGGGGACAAAGATCTTACTTTTTGGAGAAATTTCCTCTGGTCTGATGAAATAAAAATAGAACTGTTTGCCCATAATGACCATCCCAACCGTGAAGCATGGGGGTGGCAGCATCATGCTGTGGGGGTGCTTTGCTGCAAGAGGGACTGGTGCACTTCACAAAATAGATGGCATCATGAGGAAGGAAAATTATGTGGATATATTGAACCAACAACTCAAGACATCAGTCAGGAA